GGCCTGTGCTTCCCACTTTCATGCATCTCTTATGTTGTTTTTCTGACCTGGAATGTCTTCCTCTTTATTTGGGGTGGTTAAAATCCTACTCATTCCTTAAGCCCCAGCTCAAATGTTGCTTCCTCCCTGAAGCTTTCTAGAGTTTCTACTAAATATGATCCATATTATACCTGAACTTCTATACCTCTGTTAGCTACCACAGTCCACCTGAGGTCCTAGTCATGCGTACACATTTACCATGCTTTTTCTGAGCCTCAGTTTCCTTATCTATAATATGGAGTTGCTGGGAAGAATAAATATTTATTTTGATTACAAAACAAATACATGTTTATCTTGCACAATCATATTTTAAAAATTTAAAAATGTAGGAATATAGAAAGTTTAGAATGGTAATTCCATATACACAGGCATTCTCATTCCCAAGGATTAGCCACTATTTACAGATCTTTCCAGTGTCTGTGTAAATATCTATAGGGGGAGAGAGAGAGAAGTGTTTTTTCAAACACAAAACTGGAGGCATATATCCATCTTATTCTGCAAATTACTTTTTCCACTCACTAATATAAATAAGATGATATGATATAAGGTGCCTAGCTCAGAGCTCAATAAATGATAGCTATAACGATTCTGCAACTTGTAGCAATAATTTTAAACTTTCTTTTTACCAGTAAGACCATTTTCAAATAAAATAGTATTGTTGTACCTCAGTATCCATGGGGGATTGGTTCCAGAACCCCTGAAGATACCAAAATCCACAGATGCTCAATCCCTTATGTAAACAATGTAGTAGTTGCATATAACCTATGCACATCCTCCTGTATGCTTTAAATCCTCTAGGTCTGTGGTCCCCAACCTTTTTGGCACCAGGGACTAGTTTTACATTGACCCTCCCCAAATTTGTTTCAAAATTTTACTGATCCACAAAATCGTGAAGTCTAGAGATGGCTGTTTTGGTCTATTCTGTTTTGTCAGGACTTCCCTGGAATAATCCCAGAGAGATAATGAGTTCTATTCTCATGCCAGGTGAGTTTGGCAACCGCTGTCCTTTGATGGAATTGCAGCAGCTCTTCCAAGACTGATAGTAGATGGAGCCTCTCCCAGGGGCTGTTTAAGAAAGCCACTCTCTCATTGAGGCTTTTGTTTGTCCTTCTTGCCACCACTCTGTTGTCCTTAAGGGGGGCACTGCTTCTTTGGACCACCCTGGGCCAAACATGGTGCAGACCCTTCTCTTGATGTCCCACAACCTAACTCGGACTAGGATGGGACACACAGCCAGGACCTGGCTAAGGGCTTGTGATTCGTTTAAGGGAGATGAGCACAGAGGTAACACAAGGCCAGACGACTTGGGCTTACAAACTCCACAGTCCACAATCTCCACCCCATCCTAGCCGCCTCTGCTCTTTTAGGTAAGTGGTGAGGGCAGTGGCGACCAGTTGGAGACCAGCAGGGGGCCAGAGATGAGCCAAGAGCCAGCCTGCAGCCTTGCCCAGTTCTGAGGACTAGGCTAGGGTTTATGAAGGGAGGAAACAATCTCCTTATATGGCTGCTTTTTGTATAAGGCGAAGGACCTATCAAAGAATTGAGGCTTCCTTCTTTACACTGCTGTGAGCCACTCAGAAGGCAGGGCTTTTAAATTTCTGTCATTTAACCCCAAATCTCTACCGCAGCAGTTGATGACAACGAATTGGGCGCAAAGGATTCTGGCTGTTAAAAATGTGTTGACACCAGATTAGGCACTTGACCCTTTATATATAAGGACACTTGGATAACAATAACAAGTGTTTTTTGGGAGTCTTTTTATCTTCCTTAGATGAAGAAGAATTTTAAGTGAGTCAGTCACATTTTCTGATTTGCTTGGGGAGAAGCACTTAGTATGAACTATAGCCAAGCCCTTTTTTCCCCTTCACTCACATGATTTTAAAATTTTGGCATAGTTTTCAATGTGTGACCGTTTACTTATATTTGCAAAACAATCTCATGGTCTCCCTGTCCTCTTAGTCTTCACAGCCGCCCAGTGAGGTAGGTGTTGCTATTCCCATTTTGCTAATGAGGAGTCTGCCCCACAGGGCGCTAAGTGATTTGCTCGAGCCCACACTGCTGGTAAGAGGCAGAACTGACCTCTATCTGGCCCAAATCCCAGCCTCTATCCTCTGTTCAGCTGGCTCCTGTCTACAACTAGGGAATGCATGGTTTGTTTATTTGGTTTTCTCCTCTGCAAAGCTAACCAACTGGCCCTTAAGGGATTTGAACTCTGGAATCTTGGTGCCATTAGCATTGAGTGCCAATTAGAGAAACAGGTGACAGCAACGATAACATAACCATGACAAGAAGACACTGAGAAAGAATCCAGAGTTTTCATCTTGTCCAGTGTGGAGCGCTCTTTGTCAGGGTCAAGTTCAAAAAAGCGGCAGGTGGTCTGGGCAGAACATGAGCTACCCTTTTTGCTTCTCTAGAATGCTCTGTGGTGCTGGCTCTAACCTGAGCAGGCCACCCGCCTGGTATCCCAGGGGGAGGCTCCCGGTGACCGGCCAGCTCACCACCTGTCTTGGGCACTCTCTTGGAAGCCCTTGGAAGGATTGTGTTTTCTGCTGCAGCTGGCTGTGCCGACCTTCTCCTGGGAATGAAGGGTAGATGCCTGAGGTTTAGGTTCCTAATTCTGGCCATGACATCTCCCAGAGCTTCTGGGGTGACTAGCAGGATCTCTCTCCCACTCCAGCCCTCAAATTCGGGCAGTAGGGTGAGGTCAGCTGGGGCCCGTCAGGGTAAGGACTTGTTGCTGATAGTACCGGGAGGAAGAGCAGCAGTAACGTTCACAAGAGTCCAGTCCTGAGCCAAGCGCGCTGGGGAAGGGCTGGACAGGTGCTGGGGTGGCTGGGGTGGCCAGGCCTTACGTCTCTCCTTGTCTGGCTTTTGCTAGGAAAAGATAAGAAGGAGCTTGCTCATGGCCTGGGCACCCAGGGCCAACAGAACTGGGGTGGGGATGGAGGAAGGAAAGTGTCACAGGACCTCCCCCCACGTGGGCAGGGAATCCAGTGGGGAGACTGGGCCTGGGACCTACTGGGGGAAGGCTTCCAGGCTGAGCCTCGACTGTGGTCTGGGCTGGTTTGTTGGGTGGCACCAAACACGGGCTTTCAAGTCAGGCCACCCTGGGCTGGCATCCTGGGGCCCTGATTTAGTTGTCGTGTAACTTTGGGCAAGGACTGAAGGGCTCTCAGCTTCAATGTCCACAATACGCTCACACCCACCACAGTCCAGACGCTGTTGTCTATGCAGTGGATCGTAGACATTTCAACAATGACGGTATTTACAACGGAGGCTGCCTTTTGGAGCAGCCCGCCCAATAGTAAACAAAAAGAATGTGTTCAAATCTATGAGGTAACTTAAATAGTTAACATGTCAAAGGACATGAGCAGAGAATAGTGGTAAATAGATAGCAGCGAAGTGGTAAATACCTGAAAAAGTTTCAATCTCAGAAGCAAAAAAAAAAGGTAGGGGGAGGTGAAAGCAACATTGTAGTACCACTTTATGCTTATTCAGAATCAGTAAAGTATAAAAATTAATAATATGCTATGTTGGCAAGGTTGTGCTCTAAGTGGTCCATTTATACATTTTGATGCAACCCTTTCAGAGAGCAATATACCATAGCCATAAATGTTTATAACCTTTCACGTAGTCACTGTTGTCTAATAAATTCATCCTAAAGTAATGATCCTTTCAAAATCTTTCTTATAAAAAAATTTCAAGCATACAGAATAAAATAGAATAGTACAATGAATTCCCCTATACTAAAGGGATTTTTTTTTCTAAAGGGATATTTTAATAGAATATTAAATCCTTACCATATGGGTTAGGATGTCCACAGTTAAAAATTTTTTAAAATCCAAGTATGTTACAGGAAAATATCTGAATAAGTTGTGATTTATCTTCAGATAGACTATTATATAGCGATGAATACAACAAATAAGAAAAATGGAATTGTATAAAGTGTGATCCAATATTGAATGAAAAATCAGAATTTCAATTGTATTTATAAGTGATGACAATAGTGTAAAACCGGCCGGGCACAGTGGCTCATGCTGGTAATCCTAGCACTCTGGGAGGCCAAGGCGGGCAGATCACTCAAGGTCAGGAGTTCAAAACCAGCCTGAGCAAGACTCTATCTCTACTATAAATCAAAAAGAAATTAATTGGCCAACTAAAAATATATAGAGGAAAAATTAGCTGGGCATGGTGGCACATGCCTGTAGTCCCAGCTAATTGGGAGGCTGAGGCAGAAGGATTACTTGAGCCCAGGAGTTTGGGGTTGCTGTGAGCTAGGCTGATGCAATGGCACTCTAACCCGGGAAACAGAGTGAGACTCTGTCTCAAAAAAAAAAAAAAAAAAAAAAAATAGTGTAAAATCATATATGTGAGCAAAGGTTAAAGAAAACAGGCAAAAGTATTTGCTGTGTTGTGGTGGGGGATGATGGATTCATGTTTTTGTTATATTATTCTTACAATAAAAATAAATGAGCTTACCCCTATAATCCCAGCACTTTGGGAGGCCTTGGTGGGAGGATTGCTTGAAGTCGGGAGTTCAAGACCAGCCTGGGCAACATAATAAGACCCTATTTCAAACAAACAAGCAAATGAATAAGAAGGAGATTCTAGACTCCACCCCTGAGTCAATGTGAGTGTGTATTTGTTGGGACCTAGTCCACAGGTTATTCCTATTAACGGTCGTATTAGGAAGTGATGGGGGGTGGGCATAGGGCCTGGTTGTAGGGCAGGGGCTCCCAAAGACGCTGAATGTCAGAGCTACATGGGAACAGTCTAACACTTTCATTTTGCAGTCAAGGGCCCTGAGGCCCAGAGAGACAAAGTGACTTGCCCAGAATAACCCAGCAAAAGCCTGGCTGTTCCACATAGGGGAAGCCGTTTCCGCAGAGTGAGCCAGCTGAGGGATGGCACAGAGAGGCTGTTCATGGACCCAAAGGCCCATGCCCTGGTTGTCTCCACAGGACCCTGAGTGGGCTGAGCCAGATCCACCCCTCCCAGCATGTGGGACTGTCCCGGACCGTCCGACTTTATCCAACTGCCGCGGCCAGTGGCCAGCTGACTTCCAACGCCCTGCCCTCAGGACCAGGCCTTGAGCAGAGAGATGGCACCCAGCAGGGTCTGGACTACCTCTCATCCTCCTGGGGTAAGGATGCCCTGGCTTACCCCCTGGGGTAAGGATGCCCTAGAAGAGCAGGGCATCTAAATCTCAGCTTCCCCCTCCGCTCTCACAGAGGGGCTGAGCTGTCACCTTGTCCCTCATTCTTCCAGCCGATCAACAAATACTCACTGAGCACCTGCTTTGTGCCAGGCCCCGGGGGGCCCAAACCAGCCGATCTGGACTTTCTCCTTGTTGTGACCCTTCACTGACCCTTGACTGTTCTATTTCTGTCCAATCTATCCTCTCCTCTTGCCTCCACTTCCTTCATGTCCAGCTGTGAACCTCAACTCCCTGCCCCAGTCCTTCCACCTCCTCTTTCCTGCAAATCCCAACCCTCCCGGATCAACCCAACCCAACCAATTGTTTCCTCAGCACCTACAGCTGCACCGCTGCTGCCAACAGGAGAAACTAGCTGGTGGACTCACACCATGGCACACTCTGTGTGGTCGCCCAGCAACCCTTCCCTGTGTGCCTGGACATCTTCTCCCTCCATTCCTCAGAGCGGCTACTCCAGGCCTCCCCCACTTTCCTGAGCTCCCATCCATTAGTCCATGGATGCACCCTCTACCTCCCAGAGAGTCCTCAACCCATGCTCACCACTGCCTTAGCTCAATCTGTGCCCGAGCATTTCAAACATAGAGATGAAATTCACATAACATAAAATGAACCATTTCAAAGTGTACACTTCAGTGGTTTTTAGTGTATTCACAATTTTGTGAAACCATCACCACTATTTGATTGCACATTTTCATCACTCCAAAGAGTGACCCTGTACCCTTTAAGCAGTCACTCCCTAGTCCCCTGTCTCCACAGCCCCTGGTAACCACTGATCTACTTTCAGTGGATTTGCATATCCTGTACATTTCACACGGTGGAATCATACAACATGTTGTCTGTTGTGCCTGGCTGCTTTCACTTAGCATAACGTTTGGGGGTTTATCCACGTTGCACCATGATTAGTCCTTCATTCCTTTTTACGGCTGATGACCTCCTTTTTCGCCCTCTTGAAGGGGAGGCGCACCTCTTGTGTAAGGCACACCCCTGCATCCTTTTTGTGTCTTCTGGAGTGCTAGGTATTGACCCCACTTCTGTGTCTTCAACCTGTTCCTCTCTCAGCCCTTTCCCTTCATCATATACCCTTGCTTCCAGCTCTCCCAGTAACACACACACACACACACACACACACACATGCACATACACACACACATATGCACACATGCATATGAACATGCAGAGTTGTTTCTCTCTGGCTTCCTCTCTCTCTTTTGCCATTACAGTCAAGCTTCTTGAACCCATGGTCTGCATATACTTTTTCCACTTCCTCCTCTCATTCCTTCCTCAACCCTTCACCTTCAAGCTCCCCTCACCTGGCTCTCCCTACTTACTGAATTAATAACTTCCTTTGCAATTCCACTGCTACCACCCTTTTTAAATGAGGTGACCTCAGCTCATGCTGCTCCATGACCTGCCAGCTGGTCACCCACCCTGCACGTCACAGCTGGAGGACACCTTGCTGATGATGGCTTTTGTGGCTTTCTCCACTACCCTGTCAGGCCTCCCAGAATCTGACTCTAACTCTTCTTCCAGGCTTTATCTTTCTCTATTTCTCTTAGAAAACTCTCCTCTCCAGCAAGCCTGGGCTGCAATCCATTCCCTGCCCTTGGGTTCAAAGTCCCACCACAGCACTTGCTAGCTGTGTGCCTTGGGTCAACCCACACTTCTCTCAGCCTATTTCCTTAACTGTAAAATGGAAAATATGAGGTTGGACATATGAAAATTGCCCGAACTCTGCCATAGCAGTCTACAGAAATGGCAATTTCTAATGCTTCAGCATAAAGTAATACCCACCCAAGAAGGCTGAGTTAATGTGCATGAAGCATGCGCTTGGTGGCTGGCACAACTGTGATCTTCTCAAAGGTCTCACGCTGCCCCCACCATGGGGCCTTGCATCCCGTAGGTGTTCAGCAAATGCCCTCAGGATGGACGCACCCCTAGTCCCGTGGGCCTTTCTAACCAGGCTCTGGCGGTCACGGCTGTGCCTCTCAGCCCTGCCCCCTGGACCCAAGCCCTCTCTCTGCAGGGCTGAACCTCACAGAGAAAATCAAGAAGATCAAGATCGTCTTCACTCCCACCATCTGCAAGCAGACCTGTGCCCGAGGGCACTGTGCCAACAGCTGTGAGCGGGGCGACACCACCACCCTGTACAGCCAGGGAGGCCATGGGCACGACCCCAAGTCTGGCTTCCGCATATGTGAGTCCCTTGGCCCTCAGGGGGTCCCAGCTGGCCCCAGGGGGGTGGATGGCCAAAGGATTAAGCCTTTCCTTGAATTCAAGCCCGCTGCTCTTGTGCTGTAGCTCCACCAGTTGTCCCAAATCGCACGAAGAGCTGAGTCCCCACCCAGCTCTGTCACAGCCTAGTTGTGTGACTCTGGGAGCCATATAACCTCTCTGAGTCCAACTTTCCTCAACAGAGAAGTGATGCAGTTCGTATAATGCCACCACCCTGTCTTCCAGGCTGTCACTGGGGGCAGGGAAAGGCATGAATGGGCTTTTTAGAAAGGCAAGAGCTAGTTATTATCTCCCCTTCTCCACGCCTGGGCTTTGTGGACAGTCCCTGCATTTCAGGGGGTTCTGGGCTACATACGCCATCCAGATTTGGGGTCCTGCTGCCCCTGTTTCTCTGCTGTCACCGGCCGGCCACACGGTGGGTGCTGCTGTTCTTCCACCACCCGTGACCCTGAGGGCCGATGTTGCAGATTTCTGCCAGATCCCCTGCTTGAATGGAGGCCGCTGCATTGGCAGGGATGAGTGCCGGTGCCCTACCAACTCCACCGGGAAGTTCTGCCACCTGCCTGTCCTGCAGCTGGACAGGGAGCCTCCAGGGAGGGGCTCCCGCCACGGGGCCCTGCTGGAAGGCCCCTTGAAGCAGTCCACCTTCACGTTGCCTCTCTCCAACCAGCTCGGTGAGTGCCGGCACAGCCGGGACTGGGGGAGCACCAGTCAGGTGGGTACAGTCACCGGTCACTGTTGCTGTGCCAGGGACCGGGAACTGTCTCCAGCCATTCCTCTACAGTCAGACCTCCCCCTCACTGGCTCTCAGCGTCACCCCCTAAACTTCTCTTTCCACTCCCCTCTCAGTTCATCCACATGTTTTTACTCTTACCCCGTGCTGAAGACCTTTGGGAGAAAAAAGCATGAATTCTCTAGGAAGTCCAGGGACAGAGAGGCCACTAGGCTGGGAGTGCTCTGGGGAGGCTGGTGGAGGGGATGAACTGCAGTCGGGTCCTAAACAACGGGTGACATGTGGTCAAGCAGAGGGGCTGGTGTGGGCAAAGGCACGGAGGTGGGACCAGGCAGGGTCCGTGGGCTGGAGTTCAGGGGTCGTACGGGGCGTCAGGAGGAAGGTGGTCTGGAGCTTGACACTGAGGGTTCTTCAGAGAAGGAGCTTGCGCTTCGCCTCATCCTCACGGGGGAGTTGCTCTGGGGCTCCAAGTAGGGAGCAAAGAAATGGAGGGAGACTTCTGGGGAGACACACAGCCAGTGGCCCTCCTGGCCCAGGGCTGAGAGGGTGGGAAAGCGAGGGTGGGGCCCCACTTCCCTGGCTCTAACCCTGCCCCTGTGCCCAGCCTCTGTGAACCCCTCCTTGGTGAAGGTGCACATTCACCACCCACCCGAGGCCTCCGTGCAGATCCACCAGGTGGCACGGGTGCGGGCTGAGGCAGAGGCCCTGGAGGAGAACAGCGTGGAGACCAGACCCCCACCCCGGCTCCCCGCCGGCCCTGGCCACAGCCTCTTGGACAGCAACAGCATCCCTGCTTGGCCTGGAGAGTCCCCTCGGCCATTGCCCCCCACGGCACCCAGGCCTCGGGGGCTGCTGGGCCGGTGTTACCTGGGTGCTGTGAATGGACAGGTGAGAAAGCAGCTCCTGCCTCAGCCCTGGAACCTTCCAGAACTGCAATTGCCCCTACTCCACCCTTCTTCTACTCACCCTCCTCCTTGTTCTTATGGAACATGAGTGTCTGCAGAGTCTCCCACTTCCCAGGTAGAAAAACCCAGGGCATAAAGTTGCCCAAGTGTGGAGAGGCTGGGCCTCCTACCAGGCTTGCGGAACAGGACCCCGGGAAGATCCCCTCTGGAGGAGCTGTCACCGGCATCCTCAGGCGAAGATAGCCCACAGTTTGGTCCCACTAAATCCTGGGCTCTCTGAGAGCTGGGCCTAGGATCTCCCAGACAGTAGGGCTATTAGGATCCAGCAGGAAGGAACCTGGCTTCCTGGCTTGAGACTGAGGTCAAGAGAAGTGGAATTAGCAAATGGAAGTTACACCCCAAAGCCCAGGTGGTACAAGGATGAGAGGCACTCCCTTCCCCACTGGAGGCATCCACAGTCCCTGTGGCAAGGCAAGTGAGCTTTTCTGAGGCCAGGCACTCAAGAATTGAGGTTAGACCAGACCCAGGATGGTTTTTCTTGGGACTGCAGTTTGGTGTTTCCAGAAACCCCTTCTGAAGTTAGGGACCTGGAGAAGGTGAGATAGCTAGGGAATAAGGACCCCAAGTTCCCAGATCCTCCCTGGTCTCCCAGCTTGTGGTGTCCCTGAGCCTGAGGCTCTATGCACAGGTGGGCCCACATAGTGGGTGACCCTGAGTTCCACAGAGAAAGCCTGTCCTCTGGGACCCTCTGTGTATGGGCTGAGACCATGGAGGGTGGTGGTTTGCAGACTAGCACAGGGCAGGTCTGTGTCTAGGGTGTCCCACCAGCAAACACAAAGGCTGGGGTCTGGCAGAGTGGACTGCAGATTTCTCTACCCGCTTCCAGGATGTTGGCTGACTCCCTTCTCCCCTCCTTTGGATGGGGGTATCCTCTGGCAGAATGTGGGGAGTGAGCTCTGTATCCCAGGCTTTCCTGGGACATCTGTGCACAGCAGAGGAGAGAAGGGAGGGTCACAGGTGTCCATGACCTCTTTTCAGTGTGCCAACCCTCTGCTGGAGCTGACTGCCCAAGAGGACTGCTGTGGCAGTGTGGGAGCCTTCTGGGGGGTGACCTCGTGTGTCCCATGCCCACCCAGACCAGGTGAGTGCTGGGTGACTATGGGGGAAGCTCTCCCAGGGCCTGGCCTCTGCTGCCAGGGTTTCTGCTCCAGGGTTTCAGGGGCCGGGCAACTAGGACAGGCTGGTAAACTGTGCAGGCTTCCCAGACCTGCCTTGAGGGGTTTGTGGCAGCACCCCAGGCTCCCGGCAGCTCAGCTGGCTCCCGCCTCTGCTGGTGCAGCCTGGCCCCTGCCCCATCTGATTGCCTGTGAAGGGCTGCTCCCTCTTGCCGTGGTTCTTGTTCAGATCTTGGGGATCCCATCCACTGTCCCCGTATATACCCCTGCCCACGTGTCAGGGACCTGGAGGTCTGGATTTGGTGACTCAGTGTTTCCCTCATTCTCTCCCTGGTGGGGTCCCCAGGCCTCCTCCTAACCTCCTCACCTCCTGTTCTGGGCTCTCTGTCCTTGAGTATCTGTCCCAGAATGTCTTTAGCCTTGGGGTATGGGAACCCCAGTTCCTTGCCCTCTTTTGGATGGTGGGAAAAACCTAACATATATTCATTAATTCATTCATTCATTTAGCAAATACTCACCAGGTACCTCATGTGTGCCAAGCACAGAGGGTTCAGGAGTGAGCAAAACACCCATTCATGCTGTTCTCATAGGTCTTGCTCTTGCAGGTGGGAGGGGGTGACCAGGCGCTTGTGCCTGAGCATGGCTCTGCCTGCTTGATCTGTCTCCCCCTCCACGCCTCCATGCTTGATCTGTCTCCCCCTCCACGCCTCATTCCTGGGCCCTCTTTGCCTGTCAGCAGTCGGCTTGGTGAGTGGCTTTGGGGAGGGGCTGGACAGGAGCCCAAAGGTGGGAGGGAGGGAGGGAGGGAGGGAGGGGCAGGCCTATTCCCAACATCAGGCTCAGCTGTGGAGCAGTGACTACATTTTCCAAAGTAAAAATAAGTGCAGAGGGTTTCACAGTGTGACAGAATTTTTGGTGAAGCAGCAAAGGGTAGGATTCAACTCCCAGGCTTTAGTGTCCAGCACATACCAAGTACCAGTCCCAGCTCTGCCTCAGTCTCCTGATCCGTAAAATGGAGACAGTAAGAGTGCCAGCCTCGCAGGACTGCCGTGGAGATTAAATGGGGCAATGCATGTGCTCAGCGTTAGGTCAGTACACTGTAGCCATGACCAGTAAAATCACTGTTATTGTTAAAAGTACCCCTCCAGAAAGGGAAAGAGAAGGCCCCACCAGGTGTGCTTTGAACTAACTGCTCAGCGTCTCCCTGCAGGCCAGAGATGTTTCTGTTGCTTTTCTTCTTTTCTTGTTTGTCTTTCTCCTTCCCGTCAGGCAGACCCTTGAAACGTCTATATCCCACATTCTATTCAGTTAACAAATATTTACGTTGGCCAACCCCCATCTGAATTGCCCATAGTGTGCAGGCCCTGGACAGACAATGGAGAATGGGGTAGAACAGTGCCTCCCCTCTCCAAGCCATAGACAACTGGGGGGCCTCAGAGTTAGAGAGGCTAGTGCAGTGATGAGGCAAGTGCTGAGTGCAGTGTGAACACGGGCAGCATAACCCGGGCCACTCGTTGGTCCTGTAGCACCTTCGTGCAAACTGGAAAAAGATGCCCCTTCCATTTGTTCAGAACCATCTTCATAAATACACAGACATAGGATGCCAATGATTCCTTTAGATGTGGTGCTTTTGTGCAGTGCACAACCTCCACATGTATGCACCATGGCACAGGGGGCCCTAGCTCAAGCCGACGGATCAGAGAAAGCTCCTTAGAGAAGGTGACACCCAAGATGAGTCTCCAAGAACGATTACGGGCAAGATAGTCAAAGAGGTAGGGAAGAGTTTAACAACTCAAGGAAACTGCATGTGCAGGTGAGACCAAGAAAGGAAATGACATTTTCTGGAACACAGTGTGCCTCTTGCTAGGCCTTGCCCAGCCCTGGCTGTCCTGCAGGAAGCAGGCATGTCACACGTGTTGGGAGGAGTCAGGGCTTCCAAGCCCCTTGTCTGGGCAGGTTCTGGTTCCCAAGAGCTGGCTCGTTCAGACAAGTGGGTGGGGTCTCTCCCTCCTTCCCCCATCACCCCCCTCTGTGGGGCATCCAATACCTGCTGCTGCTGACTGAGGCGCTCACCTTCCCGGGGACCTCCTGACCCATAGGGCTGTCCTAGGAGGGAGCTGACTTCTCTGGGTGGGTGCAGTGAGGTTTCATCCAAGTGGCAATTCAAGAGTAGCCTTAGCATTTTCTCCTCCTTGTCTCGGGGACTGGAAGCTGTCATGGTGTTGCGTCCAGAGTCTGTGAAACAATGAAAGGGAAGAGTGGGCTCAGCTGCCGACAGCTGTGGGTGGCACAGGAATGGAGTGAGTGATGCAGCTGAGAAACAGGGTTCTGGAAGGGGCCTCCCAGGGATCCTGCTTCACTGCGGGGTTCGACCTCCTGCCTTCCTCACAGCCTAGGTCTGGGCCCCTCTTGGAACCTTCCCTCTGGGAAAGTTTTCAGGCCCTAAGGTATCAGGTTTGGCCACCAGGCATGGTCCTGAGCCGTTGAGATGCAGCCCTTTGGGTGGGGGGATAGCACTTAGAGTCCTGCAGGCCCAGTATCCCCTCTTCAATTCACTAGGCCAACTTGACAGTGATGTTAGTGGCCAGAGACCTATCAGGTGACATTAGTGGGAATGAAAGTGAAGCCCCTCTGGATTCTTCATTTAAACGTCATATCCAGTACTTAGAGGATTTCAGCAGAGAGTGGGAGCAGAGGGCCCTGCCTGTCCAGGGCACCAGAGCCCATTAGGGATACAGAGACGCAAGCTGTGAGGTCCATCCCTGGGATGGCTGCTGTCAGTGGAGGGTCCTGGGCCCATCCCCCTCAGCCAGGCCCGACAGGCACAGCGACCATGAACCCAGATCTCAGAATCAGTTTTGTGTCTGGAGGAGCCTTCACTTGGAAGAGTGGTAACAGGAGAAAAAAACAGAGTTAACACTTTGGGGGCTGCCTACCCAGCCACCTGCCCCACTCCTGGCCCCACCTGTGTGCCAGCCTCAAGAGCTTAGCCCACCTGATGCCCAAGGACCCTGCTCCCAATAGAGCTGGTCAGCTGTGTTCAGGCAGGGCTTGGAGCCCAGTGGCGGTGGGGATGGCAGCAGAGCTCCATGGGTAGTTGCCTCTACATGCACACGTGGGTGCAGAACACCAACTATACCCCCCCCAACACACACACGCCAAGGTTCAGCCTTAGTCCCCACCCCTCCTCCACCGTGTTCAGCACATCTCAGCAAGCTGGGCACCAGGGCACAGACCCTGGAATTCGAAGCATTCCAGCACACCGAGCAAGAAATAACAAAGACTAGGGCAACATAAACATTTAAAACACATGAAAGTACGGCTGGGCATTGTATAGAGAAAGGGCAAGGCGCTGGGAACCTTGTTTGTGTTGACAGGGTGCCAGGCACCCAGCTCCACGCCTGAGCCTGGGGCTAGGGTGGGGTGCTTCTCAGCAGGCTCGACAGGCGAGCACCTGCACAGGGAGCAGAGGAAGGAAAGACGGGCTCCTGGGGCGGGTTTGGGGATGGCTGGCAAGACAGGCCAGACTTCTGGGTTCTAGAACATCCTCTGCTCTCGTGGATTTGCCTCTCTGATAAAATGGGGCTATGCCTCTTGGGGAAGTCTCTGTCATTCCCAACAAGACGACAGGAGTGACACAGTGAGTAGCCTGCGAACCACATGACTGCATGGCTTTCCTTCAAACACCATTTGGCTTTTGAGGCTCTGTGTCAGACTGCTGAAGATGGTCCTTGAAGAATGCTGCTATTTCTAACATGGAGAAGGACTGCCTTGAAGTCTCAGTTGCATGGCACAGAAGATTCCAGAAGATTCTACAGAGCCCCCTGCCATGGAGAGGTGGCCCAGAGAGTTGGCCTAGACCACGGTTCCCCTCTCCTCCCTTCACTGCAAGTGACGGATGCAGTGCGTGCCCAGCTGACCTCCCAGGACTTAGCCCGAGCCGTGTCCTCCTGATCCGTTGGGATTTAGCGAAGGTTGTAGCTCAGAGCCTCTTCAGTTCCTCTGCCAGAGTCTGCAGAACACACGGCTTTCAAAAGCCACTTTGATTGAGGCCACATTTTTGAGTTTGCATCTGAGAAAGACAGACATCTGGGTTGACTGGAAAGTTGGCCGCGGCCCCATCTGGCTTGGCATTGGCTGTGTCAACCCCGAGGCCCCTGTGCTGGGACAGGCGGGGCTGGCACAGGGTTTGGGGCCTGCAGTGGTGGGCTCCAGCTGTTTGCCACGAGATCATCTTTCCATCTGCCTAGGGTGGGGCTGAGTTCACCTCAGAACCCAGGACCCCTGTGTCTCCTGAGAGAGCTGATCCTCTCACCCTGCTCCTTCAAGGAATCCTGCATCTTTCCCTCTTACGGCAAGAATAGCTGCCAGTTACTGAACTTCTACACTGTGCTGGGCCCTTCACCTGGACTGTCTCGTCCCATTTGTGCAACCACCTGCAAGCCTAGGCTCTTTAACCCCGTGTGATGGACGAGGAAAACGAAGCTCAGAGAGGCCAAGGAACTTGTCCAAGGCCGCCCAACTAGGACAAGTGGAGTGAGAATTCAAACCACAATGTGTCTGATTCTAAGCTGACCAAGATCTCCCTAATCCTTCTGGGGAGACCTGAGTCTGCCCAAAGGAAAAAAAGTCAGGATACTAGAGGGAATTTGGTAGTCAAGACAATGCATACCAGGATTATATTGCATGAGTTACTCATGCAAGGACAATGTCTGTCAAGAAGATTGGGGTTGAATAGGCAGGTTAGAAACACACAGCCTAGGCCTAAGAGTTAAGAGGTGTGATGAAAGAATTACCCTAGGGAGAGGGGCGTGTACTTGTTCCACGCGGTTCTGGAGAGAAAAAGCCAATGTGTGATGTTTCTGGTAAGCAAACTCAACTTAAAACTGAGCACAAAGGACCACTTACTAAAAACTGCAGGTGCCCAGCAATAAAAGGGGTCATGCCTGGAAGTACTGAGCTCCGA